CCACCCCCACCCATGCTGCCTGGGAAATTCTGGGAGTTGAAGTCCACTCATCTTAAAGTGGCCAAGTTTGGACAACACTGATATACAACTATAAACAAAAACAAAGTTACTCCCCAAGTATAACATGCTTTTTTTTTTTTTTTTAAACAAGATTAAGTAAATAAAGAAACTGGCTATTGGGCGGCAACAGAAATTACAGGTATTAGGTAACTACAATATACTGCTGGAGACCCAGATTGGCCTTCCAGGTGTTTCTGGAATTAAAATTAAGCAATTGATCTTGACCAAAAAAAGGCTTTACTTCGGATCTTCACTGCAAGCAGACTTGTTGCCCATGGCTGCAGTATCATACACACCATGAAGTCAACAAGTTATCCTTCCTGATTTAAATACTTTATTTCTCAATAAAACGAGTTATGCCATACATAGATTACTACCAGTCCCATTAAAAATGGGGCTGAAGAATCCCTTGCAGTGCATTTTAAACATGGCAGGAAGTCTAATGAAAAGAAGAAGAATTAATTGATTAAATTTTGTACCAAAGGAATCTTTTGTTCCCTTGCAAGCTAGCAGTTCCCGTTTTTCAGCATGACAGGCCCATTTATTTCAAACCTATTACACTACTTAGATAGACTTGGTATGTGACAAAAATCCATCAAGCAATTCATGTCCTCTGTAACAGAATAGTTGGAGCATCAATTCTGCAGTCTCCTTTGCTCAGTAATACATGAAGAAATCAGGAAATCAGAATGTATTTATTTGCTACACCCACCTTTCCTCTATGAGTTTCCTTGCCATTACATTTGTATGATAACTTTGCAAGGTGAGTTGGCCTGAGAGATAAGGACTGGCCCCAAAGTCACCCAGCGTGCTTTCTACTTGTGGGAATTTGAACCTTGTTCCTTTTGGGCCCAGGAGGAGAGCCTTCTCTGCTGTTGCCCCCGCCCTTTGGAATATTCTCCCCCCAGAGGTGCGGCGGGCCCCTACCCTACCGGCTTTCCGGAAAGGACTAAAGACCTGGCTATGCCAGCTTGTGTGGGGCAACAAGAATATTAATAAATCCTGGGGGTGGCTGGCGCCCTAATGACACTCTCTGAGCAACTTGCCAATTAATATCAATTCTCCGACTATATTTATTTATTATTTATTCAGGACTATTTTATATTGTATTTTTAATTGATTTTAGCTTCTCTGTAAACCGCCCAGAGTCGCTTGTTAATGAGTTGGGCGGTGACAAATTTGATAGATAGATAGATAAATAAATAAATAAATAAATAAATAAATAGATAGATAGAAACTGCTGGCCAGGATCCAAAAATCTCCATGTACACCAAGGTATTTCAATATATACAATGCCATATTCTCTGATTTCTGCTTTTCAACTTCACACATTTAAGAAAATCCTGGCTTCCCGGAGCACCTTTTCAAGATGGTTACACACACCTCTATACCTCTACTGGGAAATCAGAAGCTTGCTGCTTCCTGGATCTGACACTATGCTTGTTAGAATTTACGTAGCATCTACTATCTCTTGAGTCCTCAATGACAGCTATAAAAAGGCTAATGTAACTAAAGGTATTTCACTTAATGGAAGTGCTGCAGTTAAGCAAGAGGATACACTGGATGCAAATACAGCTTAGGGAAAGCGTAGGAAGGAATTCCTCCCTATTGAGAAGATCCTCAAGCATACAGATAATTTCATGTAAAAATACATCTTTCCCCAGGCCACCGAACCATGGGAAGCAGTGGCTGCCAATGCACATTGTCTCCAAGCTCTCGGTATACACAGGCAGCCAACAACGATGATCACCGCTCCCTTCTGTTTCACTAGCAATGGGGCCCCAAGCTTAGAAGGAAATTCAGTGTCTTGGGAACTCATCATACTATGAATTAAATAAGCAAAGTTTCCTCCTTTAAGCTACGTTTCTACTTCCCTTAGGTGAATACAAGCACAGTTGGAGGTAAGCACAGTTCCTAAACCCTACAGTTGCTGGCGAACTTATTTTTTCCCTATAAACTTTTGTTGGTTGAGAGAAGGTTACAGAGGTACAGGAAATTCAGATGGTGTTACCTTGAAAGAGCATTGTCTGGCTAAAATCACTGCGCATGTCATTTCGGCAAACTGCTTGAACTCTGAACAGATAAAGGATGTCAGGTGAGACATGGCTAATGATGGCTTTCTGTTTAAAAAAAATAGATGTTATTCAGTTTTATCCCTCCCAACAGGATGCTGAATGATCAGTCTGTAAAACATAAAGAATACTTAGAATACATTTTATGGGAATGGCAAGTTTATCTGAACAGAGGAAAAACTAGGCAGTAAAGGAATAGCGCCAAAGGATATAAAAGATCTATGCAATGCAACACTTTGGGCAGGAAGACATGTTACCCTTTCTGCAAAATAAGCAATAAACCCTGAATGAAATTGGAGATAAAATGATTTGAATAGTGATTCAAGCCAAGATAGCCAGATTTCATTATATTACAAGGGCATCTGCTGATGAAGGATGAAGCAGTAGCAAATGGCCATTCCCATCTAAATTCCTACATCAGGAATTTTAATACCAACCAGATCATTACTGGAATATATTAGAGATATGCAGTATTTAGTTGCTAGCAGTATCTGAAGGTGGCAAAAGTACCATGGATCTGGGATGGGCAGCCTCAGTGTGCTTATAGGCACTTTCTTGAAGGATTCATACTTCCTCTTGGATATGCACAGTAACTTCACATGCTCAGGAACATATGCATTTGAAATCAGGAGGCATTACAGAGATGGTGACAGGGTGCAACCTCCCTGTCGCTCCTTTCTTCATGCCTGCTGAACTCAAGCTGGTCTTTTCCTGTTGATACCATGCAAACCTAAGAAAAGATATGGCTCCTTTAAAGAGCAGCTGATTGGTACAGGGAGGATGCCTACTTCAGATCCAAAACACCTTGCTTACTTTAGATGTGAATACTGCACATCTGTAGGAGACAGGTATAGTGGCATCAAATTCCAAATTTCTCTTCCCCACCAGAAGTTGCTGAACTACAATTCTTAGCAGTCTTAGCCAGCATTATCTAAGGTGAGTGATGGAGTTCTAATTCAGTAGCAGCTGGAAGGCCACCAGTCTATTTCCTTGCAGAATGCTACAGGGACCAAAGTGCATTTACGAATGTTTGAAGAAACGCAACTGATACTGCTCTTTGAAAAATGGCTGTATGGAGGATTGATCTGGATTCTCTGCCATGAAAACTGATTAGATTTATATTCTAATTTAGATTTCACTGAGAAGCTCAAGATGGCATACATGATGCTCCCTCCTATTTTGTTCTCGTAACGACATTAACACTGTGAGGTAGGTTATGCTGAGAGTAACTGGACCAAAGCCACCAGTAGGTTTCCATGGTTGATGGACTGGAGCCTGGGTCTCCTTGCTTCTAGTCTAACATTTTAACCACTATACCACACTGGCTCTATTTAACATTTGATATAAAGCATCAGTATACCTTTCTAACATAGTTTGCCTCTGTGATTCAAAAGCTAGTACAAGAAAAGTCTCAATAGGTGCAGAATTTCAAACTGATGTCAAGTATTTGTAACCCTTCTCTGGGTTGTCAGCTGGAAACAGCCAAGAGATTATTCTAGCTGGTCCCTTAGCCATCCATAACAAGTCACAATTCAATTCATTTATTGTTTTGACCATAGGTTGTAACAAATTAACAAGTCACAAAGACACCAAAATGTTTACACATACATCATGATATCATCTCACAAATGATGTAGTTATGTACTTGGGTTTTGACATCTGTCACACACATGTTCAGCTGTGTCATTTGTGTAATGATGTCACAATGATGACATGACACACCATCATCCCCTTCCTCTTTGCTAAAGCTCAGCGTTTTATAGGCTTTCTTTGGACCTTACACTGTCAGAAGGCAGAACTGGACTATTTGCAAAAGAACTGAGGGTGCTTTTACAAGATCCTCAAATTCATATGCCAAAAAAAAAATTGCTGGCCACAAGAAACAATTATTTAGTATCTGTGGGAAAAAAAGCTCTAATATATAGATCACAAAAGAGCTGTCCTTTGGATCTTAAGTTCTCTGAATGGTATCATTCAGCAAAAATGCCTCAGCATGGATTTAAGATGTGTATTTTAGATAATGTGCTTAAATGTACATTACCATGAGAAGCACAAGCTTTGTGAGAAAATGCATGTTTAAATGCAAGGTTTGTGAGGGTTAAAAGATACTGAAATCAATGAAGAAATGGGATGACATATGCTAGAATGAACGCACGCTAGATCAGAAATGAGCCTGATCTGTCCACTCAGCTTGGGAGACTGGTCTTCCCACTCTCTTTTGGCCTGACTGGCCACAAAGGGTGTGAATACCTGCATCCTACTTCCCATTTTCTTTCCATGACACTGTGAGACTAATCCTTAGGGAAGAATGTACAGGAGATGCAGGAAAGGAAATATGCATGGCATAACAGCTGAAACACCCAGTTAAAATAAAAACTTCCATTTGGGTCGGCCACAGATTGAAGCTGGATGGAAAACCTGGCTTCTGAATGCCAGTTAGCATAGCATTCATAACAGTTAAGCAATCAATCCTGAAGGAACCCAATGAATTGATAATGGGCCACTGATACTCCTTGGAGAATGTTCCTGCATTTGTGACTAAATATTTCTCATGATTAATGTTCTCTGTTCTTATTACTAATTAAAAGGAAAAAGAAGCATCTCTCTTAGGAGGGAGAAAGGATGACAAGTTTAAGATTATAATGAAGCCCTAACCTTGGACTCCTTCTGGAAGATTGCTTTCTGATTTCATGAAGCACTAGGCTCCCCAATATGACCCAGATAACAACTTCTAGTGGGGGGAAATTGAAAGCATAAGTGGAAATTAAGTATAAAAGAGCTTCAATCTAAGGAATAAGACATATTATTCTATAACTCATTAAATGGCACCCAAGGAGGTGTATTTGCAAAGGAGAAAAGATAACTGTCATTAGGAATTTAACTCGCTGTGGCTGCATTTTTATGTGCATATACAATTACTGATTACATTATTCCAGAGACTTGCTTTGATTAACAATAAACTGAGCCCTTACAAAATGGAATGTGTCACTTTCCTTCTCTACACATGGAATTTTAAAGGCTTGTATAGTTGTTGCTTGTCTCTGGATTGATATTCCAAATTACATGCAGACTTCCATGAATTGCGCTTATGTTTCTTGTTAAATCTTAGCTGGTTCTTCATTACATAGTCAGGTATGCTCTGAAGGCTAAGAATATGCTTCCTGTAAAGCCATTCCTTCAGGTCCTAGACACAGATGACTCTGAAGACTAAACCCTGTAAATAAGGATGTGAACATGAACAGGCCCAGGGAATTGCCAATATTTTGTAAGAACTATTAGCTTCCCTTTACGGAAATCTTCTCATAGGCATTCAAGATAAAGTGTAGGAAGCAAACATAAACCCTACTACAACCATCTAAACTGGATTCCTAATGGGCAAGTTCTTGTTGTAATACAAGAGGAAGAACTTCCTTGAACATTCCTTCTATACTCTATACTCTGCACTCTATACCATTCACAGAAAGAGTGAGATTTAGGTGGCTTCCTGTTATGAAATGGTGTTCAGATCTCAGTGCCATCCATGTTGTTCATGGAATTCAGTGCAAATCTGAAAATTAGTTTAAGCCCCTAGACATTTCATATCCAGGATTTCAACTGAAGACAGAGAAAGTGAGGTTATCTTAACACTAATGGCAACGTCTGATGCTGTAGCTTTACCAAGTCCTTGTCACTGTCCTTAGTGAACGTCTTCTCCTTTTCGTCTTCATTTTTAGTCCAGCTGTAGGAAATCATATAGTTCATAATGGGTGGATGATAGATAATCTCTGGTTGATTCCAGGTCACCAACAAGGCTGTTCTGTTAACGAGTTTCACTTTCATATTGACAGGAGGGGTACTGCAAACTAGACAAAAGGAGAAAAAGAAACATGATGTGCTGGTAGGATATGGTATGAGACCAAAGTCACCGGAGAATTGTATAAAAAATAATTTTGCAGTCAGACTTGATCTTGAGTTGAACCCAGCCAAGTATGTACATACATGCCCTTATTGTGACATAATGACTATATAAGCCTGTAAACATGTTTGCAAAGTATCTAAGAAGAAACCAGAAGTTCAGTCATATAGTTTCTGTGGTGCCTGTAATCTCATTTGCCCCAGGAACTACTACAGAGGAATTTGAAGAGACCTGCTTAAAGCAAGTTTCTCTCACTACATTTTTATTTTTGAAGTTTTCATTTTATGTAGCAGCAAGGGAAAGTATCATTAATACAGATCTAGTGAGCCAGGTGTAAATAAAATAACCAGGATCACTGAGATGGCATCATAGCCTTATATTCTTTTAACAAAATGCATTCATTATCAATCCTGCAATGTTTGTTAACAAAAGTACTATGAATAATACTTCTTGAGTATGTTTTCAGGATAAAACACTCATTTTAACCTCTTAAATTTGGATATCAGTGGGTTGGGCAAGAAATTCAGATGCATGTTTCCTTTTCTCAGGTTTAACAGCAAACTGCCTAACAACTGAATCTGAAATGTACACATTGCTCATTTGCTCTGGATCCTAAAAATTGTAACTGAAAAATGATTGTACATGCATCTAACCTGCAGCATCCCACACATATGGGTCCCTGTGTGCAGTTTTGAAGCTAATCTACCACTTGAATTACTACAGAAGAAATACCGTGACAGCTTTTTCCAAACTGGGACTGTAATTTCCCAGAATTCCTTTGGTGCTGTTGGTAGGGTATTCTGGTAGTTGCAGTTCAACACATCTGGAGCAACATCAAATTGTAGAAGATTATCTTATACATGATTATAAATGTGAGAGTATTTAAATCATCATACAGGATTTTCAGCTGAAGAAGAAATCACAGCAGCCACAGCAAATTATTTCTAATGGTAAGGAATGGCCAGAATAGAGATCATAACTGAACAATGATAAATTTATGAGGAAAACCCAAGTGTAAACATATGCCAGTTCTAATGGGAAGGCAGGTACAATGAATGCCATGTTTGTGAAACTAACTGCTGAATCTCTGAATCATAGAGGCTGAATCTTTTCCCCCACTCTTAAGTGACAGGAGTAAAAGTATCTTAATATGAACGCTAGATGGCACTAAGAGGCTATTGATAAAAATCATATGATTCCCCCCCCCCTTGAAATACAGTTATTTTAAGATAGGAATCCATGATTCATGGACATAATAGCAGGACAGGTTTTCAGATACTCTTGAAAAATTCTAAGGTCAAGGTCCCTCGGAATATCAGATAATGGAGTGTATTCAATGCTCCCCTTGACCATGGTCAATAGCGTACACTGACATTTCTACCATTCAGTGCCCTTCTCCAGCACTGCTGCAGTGATCCTTAGGTTGGCCACCAGGATTCATATCACTCATATTGCAGCTACATCATGGGCTAGCGCAGAGGGAGAAGTGGCCATAGTAGTGGCTATAGTTCACCTTCGAGGCTCGTGAAACATTTTTCTTTGAAAAGCTCAAGACCCTTGGGAAAATCAGTTGGGGATTTGGGTTGATTTGGGTGGAGTGGTCTCAAAGTAAGTGTAGCATTGCCCTGCACTTCCCTGTCTCCCCCTTCTCTGTATGTTCTTCGCTACACCTTCTATATTATTTGTATACGTACATCTGAAGAGATGGATGTCCATGAAATCGGGCTGAGAGCCACAAGTTCCTTACATGAATTTAGGAAGAAGAGCATGGAAAGCTTTATGAAAGAACTGAACGAAGCATTTTAATCACACAGAGGTTATGTGCTGACAATCTATAGAACAGGGGAGAGACTGCGAACCCAAGATAATGGTGAGGAGATTGTGACCTTACAGCATCCGCCAGCTTGTTAAACCATCACTGCCCATTGTATCTTCATATCACATTTGATAGCTGTTAATGTACATATTAGAATTAGGAAGTTTCATTATCCTTTCCTCCCTTGCAAACAACAGAAACTTCTAAAAAATGAGGGGGCTGGTGAAAGAGTCTGAAAGATAAAGTCAGGAGGGCTAAATCTCTTCATAGTATCTGTACCTTATTTAAAACCCCAATTTTTGAAACTCATCTGGAATGTATTATACAATGCCAGAATGGGTCAACCAAATCCAGGAAGAGGCCAGCATGCCTTTTTAGTAGTAGCCAGGAAGCTGTAGAAGTTACGAAGGCTTCCTTCAGGAAATGGGAAGCCTGTCTTAATGAGGAGAATATAACAGAATAAAGCAGAAGCCCTGGCAGAAACATCGTGCAGATGATAATAAGATATGTAGGGAAAAAAAACCTAAGGCAAAAAACATTAAGGAAAACAGAGTTTTTAAACATATATTCAAAGCAAAACAAAAAAAACCCACCCAAAAAATAAAATAGCCATAGAGGTGGTTGGGCCATTAGACAACAAAGAATGAAAGGGATGTGAAAAGAAGACATGGAGGCTACAGAGAATGATATTTGTTTTGCATCTGCCTTTATTGCAGGAGATAAGAACAGATACCCAACCCTGTCTTGGAATCATAACTTCTAAAGCTGATTGAAGTACAAGGAGAAGATGTTCTAGGCCATGTTGAAACATTACACAATAAAAAACCCAGCAGCTCCTGATGGCACCCATCTAAGAGTTCTTCAAGAACTCAGAAATGAAATTGCATGCTAGCTAGCAAATATAGATAACTCATGCTTCAAATCAGATATAGTGCCAGAGGACTGGAAGGGAACCAAAATGACAATGATTTTTAAAAAGGAACTGGGAAGATCTGGTAAATTATAGAGCAGTCAACATTATTTGTGCTTGGAACAAATTGGTAGAAATATTAATCAAAGAAAAAAAGTAGCTACACATATACAGGAAGAAGCCTTGTGAAGGAAACCGTGGATGCATTCTGCAAGGTTAACTCCACTTTATTGACTTTTTGGAGTTTTTTTTTAAAGTATCATTGGGCATGTGGGTAGAGGTCTCCTTCTGACATTGTATACTTGGGCTTTTAAAATGCACTTGACAAAAATTCAATATATAACAGGATCACAGGAAATAATGAGATAACAGAAACTTTCTTTTTACAGTCTAGTAATCAGTTAAAAAAACAAAAACAAAAAATAAGAATAGATGGGCAATTTTCTCAGAGAAAGGACGGAAGCAAGAATTGGAGTTTCTCAAGGATCTGTGTTCATAAATGATCATGATTTAGAGACAAACAGTGAGCTGGCTAAGTATGCAGATGATAACATAATATTCAGGGTGGTGAAAAATCAAATGTGAATGTGAAGAGTTCCAGAAGGACCTCTTGAATTGGATGAATATTCATGTAAATGGCATACACAGTTCAATTTAAGTAAGTGTAAAGTGATGTTCATTGCGGGAAAATATCTTAATTTCACATATATACATGCGGACTGAGCTACTGTATGTATAATCATTCAGGAAAAAGCTTGGTGTAATAGTAGATAACTTATTGAAGTTGTAGGATCTGTGTGTGATGACTGTGAAGACAAGCAAAAGGATTGAAAAGAGAACTGCCAACACTGTAATGCCTTTATATAAAACTATGGTACATCTGTATCTGGGATACGGTGAACACATTTGAAAAAGGAAAAAATAGAAAAAGTGACAATGAAGGAACCAAAAGGAACAGGGGGCTTAAACATCTGCAGAAGAAGCTATCTGAACATCTGGGACCCTTTCTCATAGACATAAGACAACTGAAGGAAATTATGATCAAGGTGAATGAATCATGCATGGTATGGAGCAAGTGGTCAGTGACAAGCGTTTCCTCCCCTCAAAAACAACAACTGGACTAATAGCCATCCAATGAAGCTTATTGGAAGGAGATTTAGAACAGACAAAAGAAAGGACTTCTTCCTACAGCACATAATTAACTATTGGAATTCATTACCATATGGTAGGATGATGGCTATTAACTTGGACAGGTGTAAAAGCAGATTGGATAAATTCATGGAAGAAGGGTCTATTGACAACTATTTGACTTGAAGGCTTGATGTTAGCTCTGGTTTGAGGGAAGACTATCTCCAAATATCAACTGCATGGCAACAATGATAGGAGAGGAATATCTCTAATTTCTGCTTGGAAACATCCACAAGCATTTAGTTGGCCACTGGAAGAAACAAAATGTTCAACTAGGCTGGGGTTGGCCTGATCAAACAGGGCTATTCTTATTTTCTTTTTTTTCTCTGCACTCTTTTTATTCTGGTTCAGTGTTAAAGTTAACTAACTCTGGAAATTTTTTGAGACTTCAATTTAACCAAAATCCAGACATTTTTTGAGACTTCAATTTAACAATTCTTGATTAAACTGGGATTCTAAATGCAAACTAGAAAATAACTTGCAGATTCAACCTTATTATCTGTATTGGATCCCTTATTCCCCACTCAGTGATTGGCTAAAATTATGTCTCTACCTGCTCCCGATGTTACAGTTAAGTTGTTGTGAACGCTATCAATTTTAGTGACAGGCCTGCAAGTAACACAAGCATTTAAAAATATTTATGGATAACAAATATTTTCATACTAAATAATTACAATAATCATTCACAATGAAAGTTTCACCACCAACTGTTATAACTACATCATTCTTTTTCTAATTTAATTTTCAGAATAAAAACCATTAGTAATTTATATTTTTGCTCAATGCTCAGAAGGCATGAAGTTAGAGACAGGCACTCTGGGGTCGTCTGTAGCAGTAGTGGTTACGTTTATAACCTCCATTCTGTTTTGTTTTTTTTTAAGAGCTACAGTATGAGAACCATCAACTTTTAGAATAAAAAACCGTACAATCTTATCTAATATGTGGGCTGGACAATATAACAATGACATGAATACAAATCTGGCTCAAAAATCTCATTCAAAGTGTGTTCATCAATGGTTCCTCATCAAA